TTTTTTTTTTTTAGTGAAAATTTTAAATATGAGAAATATTGAAAAATATTCACTGTGAGGTCCGAGACACCATATGTCACAGAGGGTTTAAAATTATTTCATTAATAATTTCATAATCATAATAACTTTGTAACTCGTCACTTGCCTGTGCTAATTCATAATAACCTGAAGAACATGCTAGAGACAAGAGAGATTCTCCTTCTTCTGTAATTTCATTTACATTTCTTCCTTCATCTAGCAGTTTCCTAACTGTTCCAACATCTCCATCACTGCATGCTTCAGCTAATGATCTTCCACCATTTCCACTAAAAAGAAAAATATAATAATTTACAATCATTACTAAGTTTCATATAAAATTACTAATCTGAGTAATAGTTATTTCTAGATTTACACTTTTCTCATGAATTGGTAAAAAATTTACAGAGACTGTTTTTGTCTAGAAATTCCTACTTTTTTTACTTAAGCCTTGAAACACAGTAGGAGCGAGCACTGCTATAAAATTATTCTAACATTATTATTATTATTTTGTATTTGTTTGTTCTGTGCTCTTTTTAAATCTTAAATATCAATCAAGTTAAAATTATAGAAAAAGAATAGGTTTGTAGATTATATCCTAAAAGGTTAGAAAACATCTGCTCCTGCAAAATAGGACGAGTTGCAAAATTTTCTAATTTTTGTTTTCTTTAGAATAAAAATACTAGAAAATTTGAGACCCAAAAATCATCCACTGTATTTTCTACCTTGTAAATGTTAAATCCTCTTTGAATGTCCAACATAACAGTTTAACATAAAATTAAGATATGCTAAATTGAATCCTAAATTTGTTTTTATAGAGCACTAATTGCGAGTACTAAAATCAGAACTAAGATCAGCTAAAAAATGTTGAAATGGAAATTTCACTATATATTAAAATGACTGATTTTCTTCTTTTATTAGAGCTAAAAGTATATATAAAACCAAAGTGCTTTAGTGCAAATAAAAGCAGAAAATTTAATGAATTATATCGGTCCTGGAATTATTACTGTTAATTAAAAATCAGTAAAAACTCCCTAATTGAATGAAAATTGGTAGGGCAGCTTAGAAAAGCCTACATCCAAAATCTTTCCCTCATGATTTTCATTAAGACTTTAATACTAGAAAAACTGTTGGGATTTACAGATATAATTTTCAAGTTTCTTTAAATTAAACATTTAAATTTTATCTTTTAGTGATTCACAAAATCTTACATATAGAAGTAGAGGAAGAAATAGCAATAGAATATGCTTCATTTAGAAAAAATTAATCCTGTATTATCACTTTAAGACAAAGATAACTTTTTAAAAAGCAGGATATTTCAATTTCAGTAAGAAAAGTAGGATGAATTTGAAGTCTATCATAGTGATGTTAAATGAAAGGCAACTGTTTCCTATTGATACACACAGTAAATTTGAAACTGTCAACATGTAATTAAGAAAAATTAGACATGTGAATTTTTCACTTGCCATCATTCATCAAATATATAATCAATAAAAACATTCAATTATAGTGATTTTAAACATCTGATCTTTAACCAATATGATATCATTATTATATTTATTGTAAAATGTTATAATAAATTAAAGATTATTATATTCAGTAATGTTTGTTTTTAAATAACAAAACTTAATATGACTTTCAAATACATAAAAATATTCTCAGTCATAAACCAAAATGTAATGGCATTAAGATTTTCATTATGGGAGGGTGGAGATGACATGGAACATTGTTTTTTGGGGCAGGTATTATCTCTACATTATATCATCAAAAAACTAATTTTTAGAATTTAGTGATCAATTCTTAGTAAGGATAAAGTTGAAAAAAGTTTAGTGAGAATGTATAATTACTTGGCAAACAATCAATTTATATTTAAAGAAATCTCCCTATAATCTAAATATATAAAATTACTTGTCCTGACTGACTGATTCATCATTGCCCAGAGCAAACCGCTGAACCTAAAAAGATGAAATTTGGCACACAGTTAGGGTACGTCATGAAAACGCATACTAAGAAGGGATTTTTCGAAATTCCCCCGCTGGGGGAAAGGGAGAGGATTAAGGCTTAACCAGAAAAATGGCTTCTACTGTACTATTTTAGATGTGATTTTTTGTTTACAACTACATTTAATTTTCATTGAGTACTTAGGTGTATTAAATTGATAACATTTCAGACATTGTTATAAATATTTTTATATATTTTGATTTTTTGACCAAATGTTTGAACCGTTTTAAATTCAAATTTGTTATTGCATATTGGTTCGATTATAGAACGATTGTAAACATTCCAGAAAATTGATCAAATTGAAAACAGTTCATTTGATTCTTGGCAATTCTCATCATTCTCAGCGGTAGATGTTATATAACAATTACTATGGTTTTCAAAATACTGAATATAAATGGGGTTTGCTTGCAAAACCTCCGCAGGTGAAGTCGCGGGTAACAGCTAGTCTAAATTATATACCTTGATATAAAAAAATAACAATGATTATTATATTTCTGTGATTATTTATCAATTTGTAAAAGTTATTAATGGCAAAGTGAAGTTTTAAACTTTGAAAAATTTTTTTAATGACTTTTAATTATCTCCCTTAATAATAAATTGCAATCAATTTCTAAATCACTTCAAAATGTTATAGAGGTTTTTATATTGTTTCAAAATGTTATATTTTCTAGATTATTCTGTAAGGTTATGGAATTTTTTGGGACTATCTTAAGAAATATATATCATCAGCAATGTCAATCATCAATTATACTGTGGCCGTCGGCCATGATATTGTATATATTTTTTTCTTCGATTTAATCCTATACTTCCTTCCTGTTTCTTTGTCTCTTCTAAGACCTTCTGTCCTACTCCTTTTGCCCCTGGGGTAGGATTACTTTTTCTAAGAAAATAAGAACAAAAGAGGGAGTGGGGCCATGGAAAAAGACCAGTCAGGAATAGGGCATTCTGGGGAGAGACTCCGACAAGAGCAGATCGAAAAAAGGAGTGCTCGTGACCTGAACCGGCAAGAAAAGAAAAAGACGATAATAAAAGAAAAGGGCCACGAGGACAACGAAGAGTCCAAGGAATGAAGAGAATTATTCGACAATCGAGAAGAGCAGAACAGACCTTGGGGAAAAAGATAGTAAAGAGGCGCCATACTTCAAACCGTGTATATATGTACCAAAAGAAATCCCGGGTATTTCTATTCTCCCTACTTTTGTTTCCATATTCATCTGTCCTATGTTCTTACTTTTTCATTAGTTATAAGTTAGATATAAGTTAGTTATATAAGTATTTTTTTTGTTGTCACGTGTACGAACCCCGCCGACAGTGGAGGACAAGCCTGTTCCTTTTTCTCTGTATAAAAGAGGCATAAAGTTTGTAAAGTTGGGATTCCTAAAGTAAAGTATTCTGTGTGATAATTGTTTTTTTTTTGTCTTTCTTGTGTTTGTAACTTTTCATTCGCGGAATTGTATACCTGTCCTGTAACAAACCCACCACAATAGAATGTTAATGTTGGATTTAAAAGTCAACTGTACACTTAGTTATCTAGTGTAATCTAAGTATATGAAAAAAATATTAAGCCTAATAATAATTTTGTGATTTATTAATTCTTATCATAATTTGCAAATTAATCTTTTCTTTTTATAATAATGTAAAATTAATCTAACTTATATTTAATAATTAATATCTTCCCAATATTTATTTTATTTCATAAAATAAAACTATTTATGAGTATAATATATAAAATATTTACTTATGACTCCAAGGTCCACAAGGACTGCACAAATTTAATTTTGTCATTCTCCATTGACGTCTAATAAATATATTTTGGTAACGCAAATTAGTTTGCATATCCTGATAACGGTTATGCTCTTCTGCAACTGTTGAACGAAAATTTTCCATAATTTGTGACTAAAGAAATATATCAAAAAATTATAATGTAGTTAAATCATCCATTTCTGATTTAAACAAAATGTCTTTTAGTCATATATAATCTATTATTTTGATAAAAATTTAAATATATTATAAAATAAACATTCAAATAACAGCTTACATGTATTAATATAAACAAACATTTTTGAATAGTTAACAAAAATATAATGAAAATATTTAAAAATTTATTAGTCTTTAATATTTTTAACACTTGCAAATGATAAATTCCTGTTGGATTTTGAAATAAAAACCTAATAAAATAACTGATTTATCTCCAATACTTTTATCAGAAAAACTATTTATTTATTTTATTACCTACCTGAAACCGAAGCTTACTTTCACCAACTTCTCGATTTCGTTTATGCATAGCAACCATAATTGCTTCATAACAATGATTCCAAAAAGTATTCATTATTTCTTTCTGATCTTCTATGTAGAGCATAGTATATTTTTGCTGATGAGGTTTCACCTATTTGAAAAATATCAATAAATTAAATTAAAAAGTTAGCACATTTCGTATCATTATATGCACGTTCTAAATACTTGGCTTTATTGCATGAATTTAAGTTCATATTTACAAGTTCTTTTTATTTAAATATTTAATGTTTTAATATTCTAGACAATGTATTGTATTTTGGTATAGTTTGTAACTGATGTTCCAAACATCAGTCTTCTGAGAAGTCTATATCAGTGGTTCTCAAACATTTTTGATTCTCGATGCCCTTGCTAAATTCAGCTTTTTCCAAGGCACCCTATGTAAAATTCTAACAAGTACAATTTGCAAAATAGAGAAATAGCCAATATATTTTTTTTAAATTAAAGAGTTAGGACGTAAAGTAAAAAATAAATAAAACACATATTTAAGGTAACAAAAAAATGTAATTGAACAAATTAAATTAATTATAATTAGTAGGATAGATGAGCCTGTTAACCACTGCAAATTGTCTCAAACCTTGGAATCAAACTGGACACAGCCACCCTCATTTCCTTCTCCACATTGATTTTCATGCAATACTTAGTTTTTATCACAGCGACAAACTCAGCTTTGCACAAATAAGAAGTCACAAATGAAATTAAGATTCTCTGAGCTGTACCATTCAGAAGGAATATTCATCTTTTACTGATATCCAAAGTTCAATTAATTCCATGCTGCTAAATTTTGTTTTCAATGTATTGTCACAAGAGAATTCAATAAAATTCTCTTCTTCTGCAGCATTAAATTCAGATGGAGCACTGGCATTAAATGGATCTTGAATTCATGCAAATTTATTGATATTATCATTTTGAAAATATTTCTCAAACCAGGTAATAAGCTGTGATAAATGTTCTTCAAAAATATAGTTCATACCTTGAGAGGTATAAACTCCATTGGAAGTCAAACACAGTTGCAACAAGGGGAAACATCCTTTCCTCCGTATTCATTTATTTTACTTTTCCATAGTTTTAATTTTTTTATGAAAGCTGAAATTTTCTCAATTGACTGTAAAAGGTGCATGTTGCTTTCCTGCAGGGAGAGATTCAGAGCATTCAGCTTTTCAAAAATATCACATAAGTATGCTAGTATTACCAAAAAATCTTCAATCACAAACTTTTCAGCATACTTATGGTCTTCCTCTTTAAGAAAAATATAAATTTCTTGTTGTAGTTCAAACATATGAGACAAAAGAGAGGTTGAGGCGCACGTTTTAAACGTGTAAACGTGTACGTGTGACGCTCGGCGCCGCTTTCCCGTAAGCCTAAAAGTTTGACAATGATGTTTGGATAGTTGGTGGAATCACGCTCGACATTCCAAACACCATTGTCAAACTTTTAGGCTTACGGGAAAGCGGCGCCGAACGTCACACGTACACGTTTACACGTTTAAAACGTGCGCCTCAACCTCTCTAAAACATTACCTCGAGAGAGCCATCGCTTTCTTGTGCTAATGTTTTGCACTTTCTCAAAGTGCTGTAGTACAACAAAGATGTGTGCTTGGATCCCACATCCTCACATAGTTTTTTGAAAAATCTTGTCTTCAATGGCTGTTTTTATAAAGTTTACTACATGTATTACATATTCTGGTTCAATGCAGGACTCAGATATTTTGATGTGAGTGTTTCCCTGTGAATAATGCAATGGGTCCACAGTGCTTCGAAAAAGTGCTTGCAATCCTCCATAACATCTAGACATAGAATGAGCACCATCAGTAAAGAAACCAATGCATTTGGTCCACTCCAAATTATTTTTGGAAATAAAAATATCAAGGATCTCAAACAAGTCATGAGCCTTAGCACCAGCAGTGATATTTTTACAGAAGAGAAAGTCTTCTACAATGTTATTATTATCTATAAACTGTACATAATAATAATGATGCTCACTTGATTTGCTATTTGTGTGTCTCATCCAGCTGCAACCCAAATTTCTTTCCTTCTATTTTTTCAATAACTGAACATTGGAGGTCCTTTGCTATGTGCTGTATTCTGCAACTAATAGTGTTGTTGGACAAAGGCACTTTTGAAAGCTGCTACCAACCAGACCCACCAATCATAATGTTCACCATATCTACAGCAGCTGATAGAATGAGTTTTCCTGCAATGGTATGAGGCATTTTCCATTTTGCAATTCTATGTGCCACCTTTATTACTGAGTTAATGATTTGCATCAGATCTGCTAGATGTCACATTGAATTGAATTGAAAGTGAAAGTAAAAGTATGAAAATTTTATATTTCACAGCAGCTGTGAAGGAAGCCATGGTTCCCTAGGGCACTGCGGCACACACTTTGGGAACTGCTGGCCTATACATTAAGCTGAAAAAGTTAGTGTATAAGCAAATAAATGTTTCTCAGCAGCCAAAGATGTTTAGTAATGAATTATTCTTTCTGCTAAGTATGGGTTCAGTTATCCACTGTATATTCTACCAGCATCTTATGATTCACCAACTTACAAATCGGTTGCTTTCAAGGCCCTTATAAAAAAAGGCCTTTTCCCACTGTTTCAGTACGTTTCTTAGGCAATGGAAAATAAGATGCATTTATAGTATTTAGCAATACCAAATTAGGATACTGTCCTAGCTTTATCTCTTCATTGATCACAATGCTATCATTCTCATTTAAATTTCAACTCTGAGGAGACTAAGCCATACAGATAGAACAGCCACTTACAGCAAACTCTTGAATGGGTAACAACTTTCAAATTGCTTTTAAAAGGAGCCTGAAAATATTCTCCTTACTCATGAATGACAAAGATCCTGCAAATGAAACTACTCCTCCAGACATTTACTCAATACCTTTACAAACAACAGGATAGATTGTCCTTTTGAATATATTGGTCCCATATGTAGATCTCTGCATACTGCAAGATCAAAGAACATCAAGATTCAAATCAGAAAATGCCTGACTACAAATACCTTAGCAGCCTTTGCCTCTGACCAGGAAGTTGATGTATTTTTTGATAGGGCACATCTAATACATCTCACAGACTCCTTCTCATCTAAAATATCTGGAAAAACTCAAAATCTATAAAGCAATCTGTAAAAAGACCACAATTAATAGTAGAGATATGGCCCTGTTGTTGCATGTGTGGAATGCTTTGTTTGAAGTTGTCTTAACTTAATTTATCATCTTTTGGTTATTATTACATTTTTATTAATTTTAACCTCCTTTTGTTATATGTTTACTCATTTATGTAAGGTACCTTTTATTTATATTCGTTTCCTATGCATTTTTATTTTAAGTTATTTTCTTTAGATATAGTCGACCCTGCTATAACACGGTAGATATGTTCTGTTCTTTATGAAATTGATGTTCTAAGGGTCCTTGAATACATGAGCCAATCACAGCCCAGCATGTATGCAGTTTGTAGACTACGGCTGTTTGAAAGGTTTTCTTCCATAAAATTAATCGATTCTAGACTAATTCGACTCAACATTTCCAAAACATGTATAATTTTTTGGGAATAATCCATATAAACTATGCTATAAACAAAAAATCGTAAGATTACTTACCAAGTGTGCACCGTTCGACGACACCATTGCTTAAGCTTGTTTTCGTCGTGGAGTTTGTCATTGAATGGTGCTTATGTGCTTCCTGATAAATTATTTTTTTTGCAAAAAATTCGCTGAACTTTGGAGCCATCATTAATATAAATATAATTTTTATGGACGTTAAATAATAAATGGTTTTAAGTAGGTCCAATGCTCATTTAAACTCAACAGTTTGTGCAATATCCACTATTGGTCCAGATTTGACCAATCCTGTCGCAACACGAGTCGGCGATGACATTTTATCGAATTATACAAGTTTTTTTAGTATGTTTGTACGAATATGGTCACAATTTTTTTGCCGTGATATAGGAATCCGAACTATAGGAACCCGTGTTATGGGGGATCGACTGTATTTTATTTTAACCATTTTTATGTATTTATTTTTAATTTTATGTTAAATATTAACCAATTTATATATTCAATTCTTGCGCATTTGATATGTAATACAATTCAAATCATTCAATCATTTGTATTTTTAAAGCTGTTTTCTGTCCTATCATAAGAACCTGATGATCTTTAAATAAGATTTAAAAAGTTAGTTCAGTCATTAAATTTGTTTTTTGTTACTGGATTAAGGTGTATTTTGAGTTAATTAATGTATTTCTCATCTTTTAGTATATTTAGTCATAATTAATACTAATATCTATATTAATAATTATCACCATCATATAAATCATCAGATAGTCATCATTAATCTATATTAATGATGACTATCTATAGTTTACAGTTACAAGAAGTGTTCAGAGAGATTCAGGAAAGGGCATATTACTAAAATATCAAAAGATACATTTTTTTGTAGTTTATTTGTTATCAATTTCATGCATTCATATAATAGTAATAATAGAATCATCTGATATGCACATGTTTATGTAATAATTCTTATTTTCATAAAAAAGAATCAAGAAGCAATTTTCATGAAAAGTTTTAAAAGTTTAAAAGAAAAAGAAAGAATAAAAAGTTTAAAAGTTTTGAAGAATATGCATCATATTTTGCATTAAATTGAAAAAAACCCAACAAAAATGTATATCATGATAAAACAATCTTTAGAAGAAAAAGCACTGTCAAAATTATGATGATATGAATGATCAACACAATGGAGAATTGCAAATCACAAGAAATGATGAAAATATTAAAATGCTTGATCAATCATTAGTGTAGATGAAAGGTACAATAGATCAAAGGTTGTAAAACAGTTGGAGGTATCTGTAGAACAAATGCCATCACAATGCAAAATCTTAAACTGAGACAGGCACTAGTAAATTTTGTTCCTTATTTTCTGACAGACCAGCAAAAACAACTCTGCCTGAAAATATTGTAGATTATGTTGATTAAACATGAGATAAATTGGATTTAAAATTTGATTAAAATTTGTTAAAATTTGGGTATATGGCTTTAATAATGAAACCAATAGACAATCGAGTAGACAGTGAGAGAAGAGTATTAAGATTTTTTTTTTGGTGATTTTTTTTGACATGAAGCAGATTAATCATTATTAACTTATTTCTGAAGGATCATCAATCTACACATTTAACATTTTATGGTAATTATGCAAAATAATTTGCCTGACAAGACCTGAGAAATGGCTACAGAATAATTTGATACTCTATCACAGTGGTTTCCAACCTTTTTTCATTAGCGTACCCCGTGACATGTCATATCTCTAGATTGTACCCCGTGACATGTCATATTTCTAGATTGTACCCCGTGACATGTCATATCTCTAGATTGTACCCTTCATTTAAGAAATTTAGTGAGTACACGTATTGTTAATTTTAAATATTGTAACTTTAAATTAAAGAAAAAAAAAAAAACTAAATGAAAAAAATGTATATTAAAGTTGTGATTGTTGCAAGGAACATATTTTACCTAATCATTTTTTAATACTATTAGTTTGTGATACATAATATATTATTTTTTCTGCCATAATAACTAACTTTTTTTCTGTACCACTAAACAACCCATCCCATACCCCTAGGGGTATGCATACCACTGGTTGGGAATCGCTGCTCTATCATAACAATGCCAGGCCATTATAATAATTACTTGCCTGGCAAAATATAAAAATGCTATTTTACAACCATCTTACTCTGATCTAACTTCTAATTGCTTTTTTTAACCCAAAGTTGAAAAAATTTCAAAAGGAAAATGGTTTGAATGAACAGAACTCTTACAAAACAAACCAAATTTTGTGATCTCTGAAAAAAAATGATTTTTTAAAAAAATTTTTTGAATTTGAGCAATTTTGAAGAAAGTGTAGTGAAGTTCAGGATAATTATTTTAAAAAATAGTCTATTAAATAAATTTCTTTACATCTTAACATGTTTTGGTCCATTCATGGAACTTTTTGAACTCATCTTGTATGTTTTTATTTATCTTCAAAATTATATAAAATTTCTTTGAATTCACTAAAATTATAATTAATTGCATATTATTTCAATAATAAAACAATCTTTTGAAAAACTTGATAATAGATCAATGTTAAATATTCCATTAATGATAAAAACTAAGTTTTTATGTTTATCCAAAGTAAAAATGTAGTTGTTTTTTCTTTTATAGTGTGAATTTGAGGCAGTCTGCTTTAAATCTATTAGTTGTTTTAATCCTCATTTTCCAAGTCATTAATACATATTTTTAAGGTTTTCTATTTTTATCAGTTTGCTTACAAAGTGTATTAGATACCATTTAACTTTTTTTAATTATGAAAATCATTTACAATTTTACAAGGCTTTATATAGCTTTTTCAAATATTTTAATACTTACTCATTACTGGTATAACTTGTTTTTGTGTTACGATGAGTTGAAATATTAGGAAGCATAGATAAAACTATAGTTTCAAAATTTCCTGAAATTCTTTGACTGCTGACCAATAATACATCATCTCGTGCTATAGTACTGTATAATATTCCAGACATAATTCCTTTGAAATGTTATATTTCACAAATTCTGTAAAAGAACATTTTATACATTAATTTTATCAAAACTTAAAAATTAAAATTTCCAAGCCAGATAAAAATATGCTTAGATGATAACCTAACACAACTATTATATCAAATGATCAAACTCAAATGTCCATTGTTATTTACAAACTACACAATTATTTAAACTAATAAACTTGTATTACCAGAACAACAGCAAGTTACATGAATGGTTCATGATATATGGTGTTTCTTCAATTTTAATATATTATTGATTCAAAGATGCACCATGATTTTTACATTTAGTTTTAAGATATTTTAGAGGAATAAATTTTAAATAATCAATTTTATTAGGAAAACAGTACAAATACTACAAGAATGTTCGGCAACTTATGCTGTTTTTTTTACACAGTTATTTTATTGTCCAAGATAATTTTTTTTAATGTTGTATTTTAGACATTAAAAAGAAGTTTAAATTAAATACTCATTATCAGTAAAGCTCACTTGAATCAATGTACATTGAGCAGTATAGCCAAAATGATTATTATTGGTGCATCACATTTCACATGGTTTGCTCGTGATGACTTCTGATTGTTATTTTAGACTGTAAATGTTAGAGGCTGTCAAATCTAAGATGAAACTGTACTTCTAAAAAAAGAAAAAATATCTTAGAATTAAAGAAATATGGTATTTTATATACAGGGTATTCATATGAAATTGTTTAGAGTACTGTACAACCAAAGTTCAAATGAGTAGAGAAAAACCATTGAGAATGTCAGACTGAATAACTCACTCAATATTTTAAATGCAAACCAACATTCTAAAACAAAAATTAACAGTGTTAGATAGATGAATGTCAAGACCAGATATGGAAAGCTTAGGGGCAGGAGGCCCCAATTAACTATATACGAAATATAACATGATATATTTATATAAACATATAACTATATCATGTTAGATCATTTAGCATTCTAATTCTACTGAATGTTTTTGACATGATGCAGATCCTATTGGAATCAAAAACATTTGTCATAACATATTTATATTAAATTATATTTGCTAGTATATTTTGAAGGTTTTATTGGTGTTATTTAATATTGTATAACCAACTTTGGGAAGATTTATAACTATATCACATTATTTCAATTAAATATTTTCCCTGTGAACAATTATACAAATGACTTATCAGGAAAAGTGTGATGTACAGGGCAGGATACTACTAATTTGGGATTGAGACTATATATTTTAAATTAAATAAATTAAGAATATGATTAAAAATTGCAGCCTGGTTTGTGACAATGTCACAATAACTTTTTGCTTGTTGTTTTTAGAATGATGGCCTAAAGATGGCCCCAGAGAGGCTGAAAACACTGGTGTTCATCAAGTTACAACTGCTGAACACTAAAGTTAGCATGATTTATTAATATTGAAATATTTAGCTGTCAGTTTTAGTTTTAAAGTCAAACAATTTATATTAGTTTATACTTATTTTCACATCTACAGAAATAGGGTTGGGAGATCCTTAAACATCTATCCTATTCACCTGATTTTATTTTTCTGTAATTTTGATCACTTAAAGGAGCCTTTAAGTGATCAACAATTTCCATCAATATGTCTTTCTGATAGCAATAAGAGCTGTCCATGAACTCTATGAAAATGGCTCTGTCAATGGAGTTTAGCATCTGCTAGACATTTGGCAACAGATGATAAACATATCCAAATTCTATGTGGAGGACCTGTAAACTTTGCTTCATACTTTTTATTCATTAGCAACCAATAACTGTGACATGACCTTGTATCTAAGATATAAACTAATTACAATTTATCAAAGATTTTATCTGTAAGCTTTATTCAAACAAAAATAATGCATTCAATTCTTTGGATGGTAAAATAACAATGCCTGAATATCACTACAGAACAATGTTAAAAATTGAATTTTTATGTCTTTATGCAGATATTTGAAATGCATAAAATCTATCTAAATTAATGTATAATCCCAAAAATGGCAAGTATGTAAAATAAATTTAAGAAATCACTTAATAAAACACTAATGTTAAAACTTAAAAGCTAGTTACCTTATCATTCAAAAACTACTTAGTGATAAAAATTTGAATATAATTAACACGAAAGTTTTTTGAATGTTTTACTGTTTTATTTGAACTTTACGATATGTTTGACTGACAAATTAATAGGTGGATCATTTCTATAAGACATTTTCGAACATTTCGTTCTTAATAATTGCACATTTTCATCCACACCCGTTACATCAAATGGATTATTCCTTATAACGATATTACTGCATTAAAATGCTCCACCCCTCACAATTATAGACGATGATTGATAAAATATTTAAAGGAACCATTTTAAATTTCTAAAAAAAAAAAAAATTAAAAGAGTTTAATAAGCACAGTTTATCATTTTGTAGCGATTCTTAATACAATTAAATCAATTTAGAAACAAAACGTACTTAATTTGCATTATTTAAATGGATTTTAGATAGCTTTTATTGTCAAAAACGCACTTATGCACTTAAATAGCATTATAATTGAGCATCCATAACCTTAGATGATGCTCTCCAACATCACTTCATCGTTAAGAACTGTATTATCTTGGTACTTAAATTCTGTAAAAAATAATTTAATTTAACGAATAAATAATGTTTATTTTTCAAATTTAAAATGTAAAATATGCCAAAATATTAAAATTTTATTTAAAAATAAAATAAAATAAAAAACAGTTTAAGTTTTCAATGATAACACTTCCAGAATAAACTGTTGTCGCCATCTAGGAGGAGAAATTGGAAATATTTAATAATAATTTTTCTATGTAATTTGTTTTTTACAATTATTAATTATTCAGTAATTTAATACGCACAACACTTAATTGCTTTAAATTATTTGAATATTTTAAAAATCTCAGTTATTAATTTTAAAATAGCTAATACCTGTTTATCTTTCAAAGCCAATTTTTTTGTTATTTTTTGAAAATTAATAAATCCAATACTTTTTTCCCCATACTTCAAAGAGAATAATCTATTTTTACTTTAAAAAATAATTAAATACTCCCCCAAAAAAATTAAAATTCAAATCTCATTAATAAAATTCTATAATAATACACTTCAATGATATAAATTTATTATTATTATTATTATTATTAATCTAATATTTAAGAATTTATTTTATTTCTTTTTTGTAGTTTTTTTTTCAATTAAAAATGTAATTTATAGAATCTAAATAAAAATACAAATTAATTTAAATTATTAATAATGTTTGTGATATTGGAAAGAAAATTTAAAATTTTATGTGGCATGTAAGTTGCAATTAAAATAAATTTTAAGAGAGGAAATAAAAAAAAAAACAATATTAAACATTATGTAAATCAAGAAAATTTAATCTTTATATTATTTTGAATAACATAAAATAATATTACATATTTAAAAAAATAATTAATGGAATTTTTATATAATTTTATTCATTTATTTATAGGAGGATAAATAATATTTATATTTTTAAAGCAATAAATTTTTAAAAAAGTTCTCCACTTGACACACTTAAATCAATTATTCAAAGTTTATTCTTTAATATTATATATATATAATTTTTTTT